TTCGTTTATAAACCTCTTGAGGTATTTTATGTGCGAGAAAATACCATAACAGTTCCGTTGGATTATTATTTTCATTAGGAGTGACAAAATGTTGTTGTTTCCCCCCTTAGATTATTGTTGTCTCCTTGTGTTATTTCTAAAGGCTCACTGTTGTTCCATAATTGCTCACTCAATGATTTTAGTGTACTCTATATGATGTATCTCAAAATCCGAAAATAATAAAAAACAGTTTTTCTTAATTGATTTTCTTTTCATAGTAGTACAGTGTGTCTTAGTTTATTTTAATATGTTCATAAATTAATTAACACACGCATGTATGAGCTTTTCAGTTGATAGAATGACTAACTCCAATTTCAACATTTTTTATTATTAATTTTATTGATATTTCTGTTGGAAAAATGTATATCATTATTAACAGTTCTGTATTTCAATGCTGCAATCACCTATTCTGGAATCAACTAACTCACTGTATTATATTTATAGATATTATATTTTTTTCAACTAGAAATATCACTAAGAGCGGTGCCCAGAATGGGGTTTCATGGCGTAAGTTGGGCCATCAAAAATTTTGCGAGAGACATTTCGATAGGATTATGAGTTTTAGGAATGGAAAGTTTCATACCAGGGGACAAAAGGAAAGCAAAGAACAGAACACTGAAAGTATATGGGCTATGATTATTTAAATTATACTTTAGCTTTCACTGTTTTTTATGAAGAGGGGAGCAACATCTTTGAAGGAAGGAGGTGTGGTTTTCGCGCCATCCACCTTTGAAGGGGATGAGCACTAAATGACTTTACTCAAAAATAACGAAATTGGAGTTAGTCATTCTGTCAACTGAAAGGCTCATTTATTTTTTTATTATAACTTTGGTTGACCCTCATAATCTTACTCAATCGTTACTTCATGTTATTTTTTTAAATTTATACTTATAAAGATATATATATTGAAAGAGAAATTTCGATTTCCGGTTATCAAAACTGTCTTCCATTTCGATCGTAGTAGAAAACAATTATCCATAGAAACCAATTGGAAAATCAGTACCTCAAACGTAGTGAAAACGGGGACAGCATAAAGTACGCCAGCATGTAACGAAAGGAAAAAGGATTTCACAAACGAGATAGCGAGCTTTCACTGGGGACGATACGGGTGGATCTATTAGTACGGCCGATTCGTCCCTCCAAAGAGGATTGTGTATGCTCTCTCTTACGTTACGGCCTAACTACCTGTTTTTTTTCTGTTAATAGTATCCGGGATTTTAGAATTCACTCTATCAATGTCGTATAGCAGAGAGGTGAAAATACATTGAAAAAAAGAGTCAAAAAATATTACGTTGTTTTTAAAATACTTCGAAACTTTAAGGCGCGAACACACTAAGGGCGTCAGCCCGTCTAATTCGACTACTTGACCCAAAAAGAAATTCTGCCAAACGAATTAGGTTAGTAACTATGATATAGTTAACAATCCCGATTCCGGTAACATATCAAAGTACTCTTGCCCATTTCTTATCATAGAAATCAGTAGGAGTAGAACTATATATATTTTATTGACATGGTTGTTTCGCAACTAAAGTAATAAAATTTATGATGCATTTTATCCAATTAAATGTAGAAATTGGATAGTACTTCTCACTTCCTCAAGCATACGTATGGTTAATAAAAAATATATAATTATTAATTGCAGAATTATTTTATTTTATTTATTTATTGAAATTTATAACTTTATTAACTAAAAATAGAAAGAATATTAGTTGCTATAATGACATCGACAGACTTGTAGAGAAATTACTGATTGGTAGCACTCCTATTACAGTTCTATGTTTAATTGTCCCGAGGTCATCATCTTTTCAGACGTCTAGGATGATTGTCAGGAATCGAAGAGGATGCAAGATTAGGAAGTAATCGGTTTGAATGGTCCCTCATGTTTATATGGAATGATAAATATCTGGATTGGGCTAAATTGGTAACACATGGAACATTAAGATCATAATGAATAATTGTATTTGATAATGCTAGGGGCATTGAGAATTTTACAAAGATATTTGGATTTTAAGGCTTGAATGTGAGAAGAATTGGATCGTTTAGTAATGTCCTAAAGTTCGTGATAATTTTTTTTTCTGTTTGTATAAAATTAATATTGGTATAGATGTATGTTTAACAGTGTGGAAGTGCTGTTCATCTCTATTTGACTCATCTTTTTTAAAATATTGATGTGAGATATGTTATATCTGATCTGCATTTATGTAACCTTAATATTATTTTCAATCTTCAATAGACAAATCTAGTGTATGTAGGTATGCATGTGTTTTTTGCTTAGTTTTAATTTTCTTATTTTTAAGTTATTTTATTTTATTTATTGTATATACTTTTTGAATATTATTTATTGTTATTTTGCTTCTATTTATTTTATATTTTTTGTATATATAGTGTGAATGTTATCCTATCTCACTATAACTAATTTCCAAGTAACAGATTGTTGTAATATTCAATAAATAAATTTTAAAAAACAAAACAGACAAATCGTTGACTTGTTATCTACACTAGATATATAACACGGCAGTATATATTCCTTCTCGGTTCTTATGAGCGATGGATTTTGTTGAATGATGTTTCGAACGGAAGGGAATTTCATGAAGAAGTGATGAATCTCTATTTCGATCCTCGAATTCCTACAACTTTAATAAGATTCATTGAAATTATTTGGAAGTTTCGAAACACCGATGTTTTCAAAGCCAACGAATCGAGACGGGATAAACTGTGTAGGAATATAGTCCGAAGGAACTATACCGAATCCACCGCTTTATTAAAGCTCAGCAATATTCTGTTTTCCAAATAAATTGTAATTTTAAAAATTAAAATATTGTATAGAAAGGAAATGGTTCGGGGTGGCGGTCATAAATAGGCCAAATAGTGGCAAAACTGTTTTATTAAAAGCCAGCGTTTCGACCAGACTTTACAGGCCTTGTTCAGGGCTAGAACGGACAAGATACAAAAAGATAGAGAATTGTAGAAGTTATATAATGTTTGACAAAAAATTATATTTTAAATTATATTTATACAAAAAATTATAAACAATGTGAATAGGGCTTATTAAAATTATAAACAGTAAGTACATTAAAATATAAACAGAGTAAGCTAAGAAACAAGATCCTAAACTGAAGTAAATGGATGGTAACAATTGTTGTAGTGTAATATATAATATATGCAAATGTGAATATACTTCTACAGATCTACAGGAGAAATCGAAAGAAAAGGAAAAGGGATATAATATGAAATAATAGACATAAAGGAATGTGAGAAAGAAAAAAAATAAAATAAAAAATAAGTAAATAAAATTAGAAGAATAAAAATACAGACTTACAGGTGTATTCAGCTAGGAGTTTCACTTAGAACTGGAAAATCAGGGTAAGGGCAGGTGTTGGGGTATTTGCTGACTTGTTTGGGAAATTTGTATTTAGCCTACTTATGACCGCCACCCGGACCATCTCCTTCCTTTGTAATACAACGGTCAACTATAAAATATTGTATGTTAGTCTTCGACGAACTATAAATCTATTGAAAAAATAGTCGGAGAAGAATCCCGGTTTCTCTTCTAATAATATAGAAAGAATCTTATTATTTTTTTTAATAAAAGAAATAACGGTTCGGTGGTTTTTAACTATCACTGTAAGGAAAACGCAGAGTATTTAGGAATAAGGGTCGGAAAGAGGAGAGAGGAGGAGGTGGCAGTACCTCAACCCAATGACACCTTTGATTCAGGCGATCCAAATACCTGAAGATCTTGAAAACAGTTGTGGACAATTTACTTCTCTTTCATTCCCCCTGCAGAGGAAGAAACGACCTTCAAAATTGTTAAGCTGCGGTGCAATGTTGACTTTAATTTTCATACAACGGAGGCTAGAGGATCAATCAAATGGAATTTCCCGTTTGACTTGGGGGTGCACCCTCCGACCTTGGCACCGTTATGTAAGCTAATTGCTAGCACTTGACTGCTGCATTGTCATCCTTGTTCCCACTCCATATCACAGGTGTACGTCATTCCCTATTTACTAGGGCTCCATTTTTTCCCTCTCTCTTTAATTTTTATTAATTTATTATTTTCTATTCCGGGTGGATATCGTGATAAATCTTATCAGAATGAGTGTGCAATTAATCACTTATCAATTAATATGACATAACTAATAGCTAGATGAATAGTCTGTGGTCACAATATTCGTTGTGTATAAATTTATAAATTATGATTCCACTTTCTATCGAAACCTTCTTTTAAGTCGAAAAGTTAACTTTTTTAAATTTTGATGTAGAGATGGTTGACCGTGATATAATATGAGAAGGAGTTGTTCGAGAGTGAGGTTGAATAAATACTAAATTATACAAATAGTATTATTTAATTTTTGCCGAAGTTTCGACCCACTTTGCTGGTCTTCATCAGGTATTCTCCGTCCCGGGGAAATCCCGTATAGCCTAAATGGCAAGGTAGGGAATAACAAAAAAAAAAAGGTATTGACCATGTTAAACTCCTCCTCTCTACCCTGATGAAGACCTGCAAAGTGGGTCGGAATGTCGGCAAAAATTAAATAATACTATTTGTATAATTTAGTATTTATTTGACCGCACCCTCGATCAACTCCTCATTTTTTAAATTTTGTTTTCATTCCGATGTTTATGTATGGGATTATCCCATATCACTTCTTAATGTACCACAAAATAGTACATACATTCTTGTCAATGTGTCACTGATTTGGCCTCATTTATCTCTTTGACCTATCCTTTCACGATAAACTCCATATTCATTCGAAAACACTTGTTTTCAACCTTGCTTCCTCTCCTCCTCGATTCCTGATTATCCTCTTAAAACTCAGAAAATATGACTGAAAAGTGGATTGATCTGGTATAGTAGTAACATCACTTAACTTATATTCAGTTTACCTTTTTTTAAATTGATCGACTGAGATATGCACCTATTTGCATTTCTAATTTGTTACTTAATCACCTATTGTTTTATGAAGTTTGCCCATTATCTAAGGTTGGTTAATTGGCAGTATGTGGCTTTCCAATTGCTCTCATCGCCACGAGGTGAAAACGAAAGGTGCTCTTCGCCTTTCTCGTGCGGTGTTGTGTTGATTAGGATGGGCCAAGTATGGAACGCCGCTTTGAATCGAGATTGGCTAATTGTTATGGATACTGTCAAGTCCAGCATCAAATCGCTCGATCCAATCAGACCCTTTTACTCTAATGAGATTGAGGTACCACAACTGCTAGTTGAAACTGACGTTTCTGTTTGAGATGGTTAAATTGAAGGACTAGTTACGTTGATTTACTTATTTTTATTATATAAATGTTGTGTATTATGTTACATTCTATTTATTTATTTTTTTAGTATAACCATCCTTCTTCTTCTTTTTCTTCCTCCTTACATGCCTTTCAACATGGATAAGGATCCAGCAGCCACTTCGACTAAACATCTCGGTATCCATAACGATTACATAACGCTGAATATTTTTGAAGTGGAAACTTCTTAAGGCGGGTTTTGCATTTTTTTTGTGAAGAGTGAATTAGTTTCAGCCGTCAGATTTTCTAAGTGTTAACGTTCGGGTAAAGTCGGCTAGAGTCGATATATTGAATGTTTTTACATATGGATTAAAATTTCTCAGAACCTAATTTCTTATACATTTCTTTGAAAATGGATTTACAGGTCTTTGCACATTAGTCCCACCAGTTACTTTTTAAATAGGAGGAAGTAACTGTTATGGAAAAGTATCAGTTACATTTGAATCAATGTTATTCTTCTATCATGTAAATATCTAGTAACAGATTCATTTATTTAGCAAAATCAACTCCTGTAGGTTACACTGCAGTTTGAATAACGAAGAGATGGAAGGCTTTAAGTTTTATCAGAAATCATGTGTTAGGTTATAGAATTTTCTCGACTGTTAATATTGTTTTATATATATATATTCTGTGGAGATTCAACAAAATAAATCACATTATTGTTTTCATATGCACAAGTATAATTTATGTATACTTATATATATATCGACGGTTTATTGTAAATATACGAAGTGTATTTTTGATATAGGTTAACATTCAAATGTTAGGGTTATAATTCATTTTGAATAACAAAAATAAGGAAGGCTTAAAGTTTTATGAGGTATCATGTGTTTTCATTAATCATATAAAATATGATCTGTTATCAGATGTTTATATAATAAAATTGAATAACATCTTTGATTCAAATGTAACTGGTACTTTTCTATTACAGTTACTTTTTCTATTTAAAAAGTAACTGCCGGGACTAATGGGCAAAATATCCGTATTTACTTATGCATATGTTCACTGTATCATTCTGACGAATTTCAGACTCGCTTTAAATATTCTATTCGTGTTTGCAGTTTAAATTAAACATGTAAACCAGTTTTCGTAATTCTATTATTTATACTGTTAGGAATCTATGCTATTTAGCTACTAGTAATTATACTAGGTAATCTATTATTGAAAGTTATGCAATTGATCATAAAATAAAAATTAATTTATAAAATATCGGATTTACTAATCAAATTTTGTTGAAATTATATCATTATGAATTTTATTTTTAAACTGTTTAAAATATATACTAAATTTATTTTATTTCATAATATATATTTTTAAAATGTTATTAATAAGTATACTACGTTGTTTAATGACGGATTGCAATATCTGTTGGGTACGGCACTTTCCTCTGGCACAAGACCCAGAGGAATGCGGTCAGGACAGTCAACTTATTAGTCCACGAGTAAATAAATTGAGATTCAAATTGACCGTGTCTGGGTTCGACCTTCAGGCTCACCCCGTGTCCTCTAACTCACTCAAGCGATATCTTCAATAATTTAACCTCATAATAATAATAATTATTATAATAATAAAGAACTATCTTTGATTAAAATGGAAATAATGCCTCCGCTTACGTACTATGTCTTCGAGTTATTAAAGAAATATAGGCACAAGTCTCTGTCTTTATATATTGGGTTGTCTGGAAAATAATGCAGGATTTTTAGTTTTCTTTAAAATACCCCTAAATATATATATATATATATATATATATATATATATATATATATATATATATATATATATATATATATATATAAAACAAACTGTTCACGTTTATTGGATTATTCATTTGTATGAATATCAGCACTGTTTAGTCCTCTTCCGAATACAATGTTTGTTTATCTCTATAGTATGTCGTTGCTAAGAAATAATTCATTCAACGAGTGATTTTCGTATAGTTTTGTTTTACGAGTTTAAACTCGGCCGTAATAGGACCCAGACGGCTAGAAACAGTAATCAAGTCTGGAGCGAGAGTAGGATTAATGAATGCACTGTTTAACAGTGGTTTAAAAATTTCAGGATGGAGTCTTCAGCCTTGAAGACAAATAAGGTCGTGGAAGGATTTCCTCTCTTGCTGACGATGTTCTGCGTGGTTCGGTGGAAGAAACCCCAAAACAACTGTTCGAGAACTTGCAGGGGAACTCAACCTTAGCAAATCGACCAGCGATGACCACCTCAAAGTTGGGTTCCACACCCATGAAACGATCTCCAAAAAAAAATAGCGTTATGAAGTTTGTGCTACACTTTTTAGCCAAAACAAAAACAACCCTTTTCCGTACAGAATTGTTACTAAGAAAAGTGGATACTTAACGATAGCAGTAGACGTTCTGGGCAGTGTCTCCACAAAGGAGAAGCAGAAGAGCGTTGGTGGCATTCATTTGGTTTGATACACTACAGCTTCTTGAATCCTGGAGAAACCATCAATGCCGAATCATACTGTAAATAAATTAATGCAATGCATCAGAAATTGGCAATAATGAAGTTATCTTGGTCGATTGGAAGGGGCTCATTTTGTTACTTGACAACGCCCGGTCACATATCTCACATCTGACGTCACAAAAACTGTTGAAGCTTTGATATGAAACTCTGCGGATCTCTCGCCTACGGGTTGTCATTTTTTTAGACACCTGGACCGCAACTACGTGACAAAAAAGGGAATTAGAAAATGCGTTTTTGGAATCAATTCTAATTTATCAGATGTATTTTTTTTTTACAGTTGTGAATATCATAATGAATAATTAAAAAAAATCAATTCTAAAGATGGGGAATGCTATTCTTAGGGAATGGAAAAGTTTCCAACACGTTGGCAGAAATGTATTGATCGAATCCAGTGGTTGAGACTAGTTCGATAAAATAAAACAGTTGTAAATCTTTCTTTTTTTTGTTTTTAAATTAAAATCCTGCATTATTTCCCGGACAACCCAATATAATAAGGTAGAATTTCCCAATTTTCAAGAATGATGGGTTTTGATGAATGAGGTATTCAACGAAAGAGAACTTCACGATCAAATGACTATCATCATAGTCCTATCATCTTAAAATTTCAGGAAACAGAGTTATGATAGACGGGGATTTTTTTTTTTTTTTGCGAACACCTCAAAAATATACTTTTTATTATTGATTCTACCCATGGTCATTTGAAAGATTGCATTTAAAAAAATATCATCAAATGCAGACCATTTTAGCGATGATACAGACAGACAGCTTATAGTTATTACACATGTTTTGATTTATTATTATGAATGCACTATTGTGATTCGAATGAGGAAAAGTAAATTGTATTCTCTATCTCTTAATTTATTGCATTAGTTTATTTCTATATTATTTTATAATTTTTCACTGACTAATATGCTATGCGAATTAATCGCACTGGCCAACTAGTTAACATAAATTAGGGTATTTAGTAAGGAGATGTGATCAACAGTCTCACAATAATAGTATAGAGAGTAACGCTTATTGGATAGCCTACATTACGGCCGTTGTAAGTCTTCTTCAGGACTTCGTTTTTAGCAATGGAGGAAAATCCAAACAAAGGACTTGACGAAATAGGGTGGTTGGTTGGAAGTCGGATTCTTCCCAGGGCAGGTAAAAAGGGACTGACCGCCTACGCATCTTTCACTTTGAGCTAGGGAGCAAGAAGAAAATATTTTTCTGAAAAATTTATTATTACAATTTAGAAATATTTTTGTATGAAATACAATATGGACATTGAACAACTTGTAAAAATTAATTTTCTACAAGCCTTTTGTATTATATTGTTTTATTGTCTGTCAAAATATAAAGATACGCTGACATGCGTTCGCCCATGATTGACGCTATTTACATAAATACTTGTTAGACTTTACTAAAATTATTAGTTATAATCTATTAAATTTCGGTTTGTGAAAGTTTGGCGTGAAAAATTTAGGATGTGCATTGACCCCGAAACTATACCTTTTTAGCCTAAGAACGTTGTGTACTGGTTGGTTGGCGAAGAGATGGTAACAAACCGAAAATTATGTGCTACTTTCTGAGGAGCTGTTCATGTAATTAATGTTAGCCCAGTGATAAAAATTAGATCATAATAATTATTGAAAATTTAACGAAAATACATATGAATTTGCATATTTCCAATAAATAATTTTGTTCTCAATTCTTATAGTACATACACGTTTATATGTTCAGTATAAACAGAAGAGTTCAATATCTCTCTCTTTTTTTTAAAAGTTATTCGCAAATAAAATTCTGAATCTTTTTTTTTTTTCAGCCACTTTTCGAGAAGCATGTTGTATACATATATTAATAGTTATTCAAGGAGAACTCTTTAGTCTGTAGCCACACTCTTTTTTAGGTCACCATTTCGAAACAAAAGCCGAATTGTATGAAATGTGTATAAAAACACTTCCTAATTTGATTGCAGCGTAATATAAAATATTCAAAGCAATCGGTAAAGAATTTACGGAGACTAGCGGTTTTGAACAAACTGACATTTACATTATTATTTATTCAAACTGTTTTCAATTTTTTTTTTATTCATAACACTTAAGTTCGTCTACAGCTACTAAACAAAAGAAGAAAATCGGTTGAAAAATAGAGGAGAAAGCGGTATTGAACTTTTTAATCTTTGCCTATTTATATAATGATTAAACCATAGTGTAAATTTTTAAACTTATTTATTCAGAATTATTACAATCATTCACAATTGAGGACATTATTTATAATAGTGTTCAGAGAACACATTCACACTCTACTAGAGTAAAATTAAAAAAAAAAAATGAAAATGTAAAACTGCATTATTCTTTATTACTATTTAAGCCAAATTAAGTTTCTTATAGACCATGATTCTTGAAAAATATATGCTAGAAATGAGACTGAACAACATATCTTGTATTTTAAGAGGTTAATAACTTTTAAAAAATACGAATTATTGTTACAT